ATATCAACATGTGTTTATGTACATGGCCAGCATATCAACATGTGTTTATGTACATGGCCACCATATCAACATGTGGTTATGTACAGGGTCACCATATCAACATGTGTTTATGTACATGGCCACCATATCAACATGTGTTAATGCACATGGCCACCATATCCACATTTGTTTATGTACACAACTACCATATCAACATGTGTTTATGCACATGGCCACCATATCAACATGTGTTTATGTACATGGCCAACATATCAACATGTGTTTATGTACATGGTCACCATATCAACATGTGTTTATGTACATGGCTAGCATATCAACATGTGTTTATGTACATGGCCTGCATATCAACATGTGTTTATGTACATGGCCACCATATCAACATGTATTTATGTAGGGCCACCATATCAACATGTGTTTATGTACATGGCCGCCATATCAACATATGTTTATGTACAGGGCCACCATATCAACATGTGGTTATGTACATGGCCACCATATCAACATGTGTTTATGTACAGGGCCACCATATCAACATGTGTTTATGCACATGGCCACCATATCCACATTTGTTTATGTACATGGCCTGCATATCAACATGTGTTTATGTACATGGTCACCATATCAACATGTGTTTATGTACATGGCTGGCATATCAACATGCGTTATGTACATGGTCACCATATCATGTGTTTATGTACATGGCTAGCATATCAACATGTGTTTATGTACATGGCCACAATATCAACATGTGTTTATGTACATGGTCACCATATCAACATGTGTTTATGTACATGGCTAGCATATCAACATGTGTTTATGTACATGGCCAGCATATCAACATGTGTTTATGTACATGGCCGCCATATCAACATGTGTTTATGTACAGGGCCACCATATCAAAATGTGGTTATGTACATGGCCACCATATCAACATGTGTTTATGTACATGGCCACCATATCAACATGTGTTTATGCACATGGCCACCATATCCACATTTGTTTATGTACACAACTACCATATCAACATGTGTTTATGTACATGGCTAGCATATCAACATGTGTTTATGTACATGGCTAGCATATCAACATGTGTTTATGTACATGGCCAGCATATCAACATGTGGTTATGTACATGGCCACCATATATCAACATGTATTTATGTAGGGCCAGCATATCAACATGTGTTTATGCACATGACCACCATATCAACATGTTGTTATGTACATGGCCACCATATCAACATGTGTTTATGTACATGACCACCATATCAACATGTGTTTATGTATATGACCACCATATCAACATATGTTTATGTACAGGGCCACCATATCAACATGTGGTTATGTACATGGCCACCATATCAACATGTGTTTATGTACAGGGCCACCATATCAACATGTGTTTATGCACATGGCCACCATATCCACATTTGTTTATGTACATGGCCAGCATATCAACATGTGTTTATGTACATGGTCACCATATCAACATGTGTTTATGTACATGGCTAGCATATCAACATGCGTTATGTACATGGTCACCATATCAACATGTGTTTATGTACATGGCTAGCATATCAACATGTGTTTATGTACATGGCCACCATATCAACATGTGTTTATGTACATGGCCACCATATCAACATGTGTTTATGTACAGGGCTATCATATCCACATCTGTTTATGTACATGGCCACCATATCAACATGTGGTTATGTACAGGGCCAGCATATCTGTTCATGTACAGCATCTGTCAGCACTGTAAGTCGCCCCCTATGTTCAGCGAATCAAGTCATTCGGGCGACAGAGAATCATGTGTTTGAAGTCTTCGTCCTGAAAGCCGCAATTCTTTGTGTGATAACTGGGTACACATTAGTCAGTTCATGGCGTGGACACCATATGATGTAGTTGTACTAAGGCAGCGTAAATCCTCAATTATGGCTTTCGTTTTTGTTGTTTTCTCTCAAATGTTGACTTCCAATAAACAATTTGTCTTCCAGCTCTTCATGGAGAGCGCCTTCCTATGTTTACATCTGTTCATTGTCCACGTGTCCTTTGGCTCTTCAGGTTTATGACATCGTTTATGACTGTTTGATTGACAGGAGTTTATAGCTGTTCAGTTGACGATAACATTAGCATTTTCACTGATTAAGAAACTGCATCGCTGAGGTCGGTGCCCAGTAGAATGTTCCCCTTGTTGCATGTTTAACCAGGGACAATTGTTCCGTCCATATAGAGAGCTGATGGGGAGGACTCACCTCTACGGGCATGCGCTATGCTTCCTTCACATAAAACCACGTTTATCCTATGTTACATAATGATATAACAGTGAAAGAAATAGGAGCAATAATATTGATGAAAATGGTGTTCAATTCGTCCTACTTTGTACACAGTCTACTAATGGATGGATAGTTATATATGTTGTATGCGATTCTGTACCTCAGGGACTTTTGAATCGCGCTGCCGCGCGTCGAATCTATATACGAACTCTAAACATACCGTTATCTGCGAAATGCTAAAGACACACTACTCCTGTCTCTACTACTAGATGGCCTTCAGTGCACTGGTGGGGTGGTCGGGTAGCCTAGTGGTTAAAGCGTTCGCTCATCACGCCGAAGACCCGGGTTCGATTCCCGACATGGGTACAATGTGTGAAGCCCATTTCTGGTGTCCCCCGCCGTGATATTGCTGGAATATTGCTAAAAGCGGCGTAAAACCATACTCAGTCAGTCAGTCAGTCAGTTCAGTGTACTGGTACTTGATTGCGTATCATGTAACGTACAAGTGGTCGTCAAGAAATGTATTCCTTGTAGATGTGACATTTACCTTCATTTCAATGATTCTTATTAGATGATACATATATTCCGTAAACCTCATCTTGGGCCCACTTGCAAAAAGCGATTTTAGCGCTTAGGTGATCGTAACTCTCATACTTTCAAATAGGCTTACGATAACCTAACCGCTAAGACCGCTTTGTGCAAGTGGTCACAGGCTCCTCTTCTCATGCTCTTAAAGGTGAAAACAAACTCAAAAGTGTGTGCATCTGTGTGCGGTCCTAGTTCCGGATAGCGTTTATGTCGAGTACATTTGTCTATCTAACTTAGAAGGGGATTTCCGGAAAGCCAAGTGTATAGGGTTGTTAACACACTATGCTTACGCTTGTTACAGATTATTTCTTAGTTAACAGCTTCAGCTCCTTACATTTTATCCGCAGATTCAACTGGGATGGAATGTCTAGAGCACATTTAAAGTGGGTTTTCAATTTCATTACGAAATTCGATCGTTATTTCTCAATACTTCACATTTAGTTGTCGTCTTCTCCACAGTTGTTGCTGTAAATTAATGCACATTGTTGACGAGGTAGGTGAGTGAGTTGGGCTAACGCCACTTTGAGCGAGCGAGTTTGGTTTTACGCCGCTTTTAGCAATATTCCAGCAATATCACGGCGGGGGACACCAGAAATGGGCTTCACACATTGTACCCATGTCGGGATTCGAACCCGGGTCTTCGGCGTGACGAGCGAACGCTTTAACCACTAGGCTACCCGACCGCCCCAACGCCACTTTGAATATGTTTCACTTGTATAACGGCGTTCCAACATACATGCAGGTGTAAAAGGTTTAAAATGTTTGTCTTTACCATTTTGGTGAAACCCAAGAGTTCATGGTGTTGACAAACAAAGGGTCATTGTCAGGACGAATCTTGGATTCGAAGTCGAAATCGGATCCTGGCAATGAGAAGGGGCGTAATAGCGTATAATGACGTTTCAAACGATTGAGACATGGCGTTAAGAAATGACTACTCCAATGATAGAGCTAGTGTTGTAGAGTGTCATGAGATCTGACATGAAACTAATTCCTTTAGGTTAATAGTAGAGGCGTGAGACTCGTGACTTACAGGCATATACACATATACACTTTAAAGAAATCAAACCAAGTTATTGCCTCCTTCAATGTTAATTGACAGATTAGCCTAGAGGCAGTGTCATCGATGTTTAAATGCTGAATGTTTTCACTACATTTTGAAATAAAGTTCAGAAGAAATTTCACCACGTATTCCATTTAACCGATTAAAACAAAGCTTGAGTAAAAAAATTGCAATTACCTAAAACTTTTTGAATTTGTCACGTTTTCCCCGAAGCAAGTATAATCCTAGAAAGCAATAAAATACTGATTACAACTAACTTGGCTTGAGCGGTTACTTTGTGCAGATAATGACAGATGTTGTCGTAATGGATGGAAGCTCTAAATGTGATCGCTGGTCGTGAAAGCATGGCTGTGGCAACTATCTCCGCAGCTCACTCTCCGACTGGGACGTGTTCATCATCAGCATCCACGCTTGTAGCGATATGGCTATTTGCCGCCTACTCACCATCATGGAAAATATTCCATTTGGAAATGAACGTGGCTTAAAGGGAATATGTTTTGTAGCGCATCAGAAAAGAAATTGCAATTTTTATAACATGGAGCGCATACACTATGACTTTCAATAAAACTGTTAATGTTTGTTCACGAGTTATTTTGTGGTTTTTGCTCCTTCTTTGAGCTGCTGAATCTGATAATGTAACGTTCACCTGGAATCAGTGTATACATAGAAAGGGCATTACGACGTCCAAAACAATTTTAATACGTATTTTTCTGGTGGTTTAAAAGCATGGAACTAATGCCGAATCCTTTAAGTGTGGTTGTTAGTTTAATGTAAAAGGTGGAATGAAAAGTCGTATATTGCGAATTGTGCATTATCTGACAAGCGCGTGATACAGCATGGTTGCTGCTTCGAATTTTACCAATGGTAAATTCACGCCAGATGGCACGACCCTAAAGAAAGATCCTGAGTACTTGGACGTCTTGCTGTACAGATGTATGGATCATCCTGGGGTTTATCGCTCGATGATGTATCGAGAAATTACCGTATGTGATGAGTTGTTGGTCTTTGGAACGTTATATCCTGATTAGATATTTAGCCTGATTAAATACGCCCGGGATTCCCTGGAGTCGTGTTCATGTGGTCGTTGGTCCTAAACTATACCCTTCAAGTGCCGCTCCTGTATAAAGGTGGGGTTTGACGGTGTGTGAGGGTGTTGCAGGGCGTGACGGTGTGTGAGGTTGTTGCAGGGCGTGACGGGGTGTGAGGGTTTTGCAGGGCGTGACGGGGTGTGAGGGTGTTGCAGGGCGTGACGGGGTGTGAAGGTGTTGCAGGGCGTGACGGGGTGTGAAGGTGTTGCAGGGTGTGAGGGTGTTGCAGGGCGTGACGGGGTGTGAGGGTGTTGCAGGACGTGACGGGGTGTGAGGGTGTTTCAGGACGTGACAGTGTGTGAGGGTGTTGCAGGGCGTGACGGAGTGTGAGGGTGTTGCAGGGCGTGACGGGGTGTGAGGGTGTTGCTGGGCGTGACGGGGTGTGAGGGTGTTGCAGGGCGTGACAGGGTGTGAGGGTGTTTCAGGGCGTGACAGGGTGTGAGGGTGTTGCAGGGCGTGACGGGGTGTGAGGGTGTTGCAGGGCGTGACGGGGTGTAAAGGGTGTTGCTGGGCGTGACGGGGTGTGAGGGTGTTGCAGGGCGTGACAGGGTGCGAGGGTGTTGCTGGGCGTGACAGGGTGTGAGGGTGTTGCTGGGCGTGACAGGGTGTGAGTGTATTGCAGGGCGTGACGGAGTGTGAGGGTGTTGCAGGGCTTGACGGGGTGTGAGGGTGTTGCAGGGCTTGACGGTGTGTGAGGGTGTTGCAGGGCGTGACGGGATGTGAAGATATTGCTGGGCGTGACAGGGTGTGAGGGTATTGCAGGGCGTGACGGGGTGTGAGGGTATTGTAGGGCGTGACGGGGTATGAGGGTATTGCAGGGCGTGACGGGGTGTGAGGGCAACTAGGGGCGTGGTTGGGTGGGGAAGGGAGTGAACGATGGGGGTGGGATGGCAACTAGGGGCGTGGTTGAGTGGGGAAGGGAGTGAACGATTGGGTAGGGATAGCAACTAGGGGCGTGGTGGGATGGGGAAGGGAGTAAACGATGGGGGTGGGATATTTCCTCGGGTGTCATTTTGGTGAGGTAATGTCTATGTGGAATGCACAAGGATGGAATTGTGGCTAGGGTGTTGCTGGTGTGGGGTGGAAAGGCGGTATTTGGTAGGCTGTGCAACAATACGCATATTCCTATGGCTATCAGTCTATGTGAGATGGTCCAGCCAGCCTGCCGTGGCTTTGAGAGAAGAGTAGCATGGCCTTAGTGCAGTTGTACCTGGACGCACCTCGTAACGATGCTTGGACATGATCCGTGCTTGGTCCGTCTTCTCCGTGGGCAGAGTTGCTACACGACAAAAACCTAATTATCTACAAGTCATTTTGCGAGGATAACCTGATGCCATGCGAATTAATACATTACGGAGGTGCTTCAATAGCTTCTTCTGCAGTGGTTATGTGAATTGTACGTGTGTGATCCCATTTATGTTAATTATGATCCCTTTGGTAGGCAAATATAGCAAAAAATAATTCGCTTCTTTAGCTACTCGTCGATATGTATACTCCGGGTCGTCGTCTTTCATGTTTATTAAACCCTGAACAGCACAATGCCCGTGACAGATGTCCCAAAGAAGACCTCCTTTCAGAGATCATTATCCTGACTGACTTGTAATTATTTGCAAGTGATAGGTAATTGATTCGAGAAAACCATATAATGTAACGTGTTATGACGAAGACCGGAGCCAGGGCTTGGAGAACACGTGTTTCCAATCTACAATGGAACGCTTTCAGGGGGTGGTCTCTAATACCTACCATAGCTGTCGTAAGCACTGATTATGAGTAACCTAATCGATCCACCATTTTCCTGGCATGTGGAAAAGTGGGAAATGCATTTTGTGTTCAGCTTTGGTTGTATACTTTCAACATGGGATGATGGCCCTCTTGTGGCTTGTGCACCATCTTACGACCTTCCTGTTGTGACCACATCCCCTAAGTATAAGAGCAGGTCAGGATAGTTTTCCCGGACCTATTGCTGGTCGCGAGAGGCAGATGAAATTGACCAGATAGCGCGGTGCCTTGGTTGCTTGAGAGAGTTTTATTTCAGTAAAGGGGCCACCGGCCCATTATACAATACATGATATCAGAGTTAGACAATTTCAGCGCCAATGATAAAGTTATTGCTCATCATCGTAGCCATGTTTTCTGTCACCGGTGTGCTTCATCCTTGCTACAATATTTCTTTGTACCGTATTTGAACTTAAATATGGCTGATTGCGCAGATAAACATCATTCACTCACCCACACTTCTCGTGATACATGTCCTAATAATGTGTGTTCCTATTGCGCTAGACTGCATGCTCAAAGCGCTAACATTATCAAAGAATCAGTGTGCACTCGATTACCATTCTCAGCTCCCTGGGGAGAATACAACCGGAACTGCCAATGAGGCTCTAGAATGTCAACAGTCACTGCTGGGTGAACAGAGGCATATTCCGAACAAAGCTACTTGCCTAAGGAGACACACTATATCCTTCATGCGAATTCAGTATATATCCATAAGACCTATAGAATGGTCACATGTTTGATAGTAATACAACTCTATATCGTTAATATTATCAATATCCTTGTCGACATTAACATGTCTTATTAAAGTGTCATCAACGCTCTCTATCTAAATATCAAAGGCTTGTCTCGCACGAGATTAGTTTGCTATTCCAGCAAGAACATCGTACATTCTGACAGTTTTCCATCAATCACAATATTCCAGATTCTCAGCCTTGCGGACTACCGAAACATTGACCATTTTAGCGTAAATACGTTTCCATGGTGACGTGGTCTCCCAAGGTAACAACGTATGTTCCAGTGACGTCCGTTTACTTATTAATCAGGCGACACACGCTCTGTATTCTACATGCGCGACTAAGGTGTGTCGTGTACTATTTCGGGTATATCACGACATCTCAACTGGGTGTGTCCCGTGAAGATCCGGGTACGTTAAAATTGGTCTTCATCAACCCATGTTTGTCGTTAGAGGCGACTAACGGGATCGGGTGGTCAGGCTCGCTGACCTGGCTGATGCATGTCATCGTATCCCAATTGCGTGGATCGATGCTCATGATATCAGTCAATGGATCGTCTTGTCCAGACTATTTTCAGACCGTCGCCACATAGCTGGAAACAAACAAACAAACAAACATATCAAAGGGATAACAAATTACGACTGTCACGGACCGCTACGTTTATACAGGATGATGAGGTAGTCAAGTGGGTAATGCATTAGCTCGTGACGCCGAAGGCCTAGGTTCGATTCACCACATGGGTACAATGTGTGAAGCCCGTTTGCGGTGTCCACCGCCATGACACTGCTGAAATATTGCTAAAAGCGGCGTGAAACTTAACTCATGCAAACACTCGTTTATCGTTTCACAAGACATTGTACTTACAAACAATGGATCTAGATTAGAGAGAAACTGGAATTCGAATCAGCAGTTCCTGATAGCCAAAATGCGACATACTGTTACATTGTATGATACTCTTTAAATATAACTCTGTTCAACAAGAAATATACAGGTCTGAGAATAATCGTGAAAAATGTACATTAAATTATTGCAATTCAAATGCTTCGCAAAAGTGGCGTGAAAACTATAAAACGTCAACGCCAGAGAGAAACCGGTCTCGATTATCCGCTCAAAAAGAGATATAAAAGGCAAAATAGCCGTGCAAATTATATGAATGCATCACTGAAATTCAGTGATGATACCAATGTTTTAGATGAACCATCGATTACTGCAGGTCATCGTCTCACATAATAATCACTTGGATTTGTCTTAATCCAACCAGACATTGACAAGGGAACAGAGAGCCAGCTGGGAGTGCCAGATCATCTTCCAGCAAACATGCTGCATCCATTAAGTTCGAGGTAAATAAACCTCCCGCCATCATATATTGGCCATCTAGGGTTTAGTTAGCAGATCATGGCATGCGCACACTTTAATGACATGTGTTGTTGGTGTGATATCTATGTGGATTCCCCCGAGCTAGGGTTATGGTGTCCTGTGATCGTCGTGCGGTGCCATCTCCGTATCGTCTTGCACCACGATCGGTTTCAACGTCATCCCCTCCAATTTCACCGTTGTTAATTACCGATCTTTCAGGGCTTAAGGGGTCGGGTGTGTGGAACGTTTCACCTGATGCGAAGCGAAACAGTCGGAGAACGACGACAAATGTAATCCAACACTTTTGATTGTTTGGTCACACGCTAGTTGTTCATTAACATCGCTTCTTAAGATGTTCATCAGTAAGAAAACACGTGCATGAGATTTAAGAGGCTGCTTACCTAAGCCCCCGGTGTCAGTTCTTTCAGGATAACCTGATCATAAATAAGGCAAACATGTCCTTGCGACTTTGTGCATGTGACCGTAGTGCGCTCAGCTATGTCACGCTATCACAACGTTGTCTGTCACTCATGTCACGCGACTGTGTGGTCTTCATCCTACGTCACATCACACCACAACCTCCAACACTGTTTTCATCTTATGTAACAACCTCCCCGCCCTTCATCCCATGTGACAACCTCCCCGCCCTGTCTTCATCCCATGTAACAACTCCCACCCTGTCTTCATCTCATGTGACAACCTCCCCGCCCTGTTTCATCCCATGTAACAACCTCCCACTCTGTCTTCATCTCATGCAACAACCTCCCACCCTGTCTTTATCCCATGTGACAACCTCCCACCCTATCTTCATCCCATGTCATAACATCCCCGTCTTGTCTTCATCCCATGTCATAACATCCCCGTCTTGTCTTCATCCATGTCATGACCTCCCAATTATTGTCTGGGCATGGTGTCCCTGCATGACTGTTCAGTCTGTCACCCGGATATAAACAGCATGTTCTTCTCCATCCACGCCTCTCACTCCATCTCTGTACATCACCGACGCTTAAAGTATGTGTAATCCATCAAACTACACGTCAAGCATTATACGTTCGCGGTGTTAGTTCAGGGCAGTTAGTGCCTGCGGTAGACTCACACCCCTCGGTGCAGCCTCCCTCACCAAATGCAATAGCGTGGTAGCCAGCAGATCTATATCGTTCATTTCAAATAATGTAATATATGATCCTTGTCGTGACGCTCCCGATATGTCACTGAATCCCACTACGAAGTGAATGATTGAGTGAATATTATTTTCCGCTCCAGTCGAGAATATTGTACGCAATTAATACGGTCGTTCATAATGAGAACTTTGACCGAACAAGGCCTTTGTTGATGTCCTGAACATTGTTCATGCCGTCGGGGAACGAGGACCTACAATCGACAAGTGAGTGAGTGAGTGAGTGAGTGAGTATCAACGCACTGAAACACGTGGAGAGGTACCGTGGACCTGTAATATTCCACCTGGAACTACCACGGGGAAATACACACAGGTGGGACGGGGATATATTCCACCTGGAACTACCACGGGGAATACACACGGGTGGCACTGGGAAATATTCCACCCGGAATCCCCACGGGGAAATACACATGGGTGGCACTGGGAAATATTCCACCCAGAATCCCAAAGCGGAAATACACACGGGTGTCAAGGAAACATATTCCACCCGGAATCCCCACGTGGAAATACACACGGGTGTCACGGGGAAAATATTCAACCCGGAATCCCCACGGGGAAATACACACGGGTGGCACTGGGAAATATTCCACCCAGAATCCCCAAGGGGAAATACACACGGGTGTCACGGAAAAATATTCCACCCGGAATCCCCACGTGGAAATACACACGGGTGTCACGGGGAAATATTCAACCCGGAATCCCCACGGGGAAATACACACGGGTGGCACTGGGAAATATTCCACCCAGAATCCCCAAGGGGAAATACACACGGGTGTCACGGAAAAATATTCCACCCGGAATCCCCACGTGGAAATACACACGGGTGTCACCGCGAAATATTCCACCCGGAATCTCCACGTGGAAACACACACGGGTGTCACGGGGAAATATTCCACCCGGAATCCCCACGTGGAAATACACACGGGTGTCACCGCGAAATATTCCACCCGGAATCCCCATGGCTAAATACACCCTGGTGGCACTGGGAAATATTCCACCCGGAACCCCCACAGGTTTATGCATGAGCTCAAGGCAGTTGAGAACTATTCCACCACGGAGATATTTTCACGTCAGCCATTTGGAATCTAGTGCACCAGGTTTCCTACTGAGACATACACTAGGGACCGATTCCATTCGGAGACACAATAAGCAGGAGACGCATATGAGGCGGTCATTCCGGTTTACGAAGTGACCCGATGAAGGAATACATGCAGTGATTTAAGCGCTAATTTAATTTCACAAAAATACCCTGGTTTAGTTACCCTGATATTAATCCTCTACACCACATTAGATGACGTTTCAAGAACAGCAATCAAACCGTTCCTGAGATTCACAATTAATTCGTCGTTGACTGCCTTTTGTTATTTCGCATAAGGGTAATTGAAATGTTGCAGCTATATAGCGTCAGGAGACGTTGTTGATGGCATACTCATAATGTCGCCGAAATAGATTCAATTACCATACAAATCACGATAAATGAACGTCTGGATCGAATTTGCGATCGGTGTGTTTGTCAGACGCAGGTAAATTTCACCGTATGGTGGCGGATATTTAATATGATACTGGGAATTCCATCATTTGTTTACACGATACAACCGGTTACAAATGACGACGAGACATGCTGTAATGATTTACAACTTTGCTCTAACTAGCCCTGCTGCATAGCTCCGTCTGAGAGGGTCGGCTTTGCCTTGATATTGTGTGTTTACAAAGGCAACACACAATCCGAACAACAATGTAATCAGAGTGGCTTCTACATCCTGAGGTATTTTCACAAGGCGCGCACCTCTTATTCAAAATAGTCCTCGGGCGTCGTGGGCCATAGAGTCAGGAGCTGACCGAGGTGGCCTGAGAAACTCTGGTCTTGTTGAGTGCGTAGGGTCAATGGGTGGAGTCCAAAGAGCTAGCTCAGCTGTGTCGTTAAACAGTCCGATTGCTAATATGTTGTGGTTGTTAAATATGATGGGACGTCATATATTTGATGTCTATAGCGTCCCGGGAACTATCATTCCGACCGCACGATAATTGGTACCTCAGTAGGCCACCAGTTCATAGAACCACGGTTAAAATATAGGTCATCAGTTACGATCCATAAACATAGGAATCTCCAAATCTCAAAGCGTGGCAACACTCCGTTAAGTGACACTCTCTTAGCACCATTTGATTTCACAAAGTGGCATAATATATGGACGTATAAGTTACAGCTAAGTGGTTGTAAGAACACCATGATGGTGATACGTGTATAAAGATGCATTAGTTGATTAGTATCTGACGGTTTTACCAGAAAATGCGACATAGGTACATTGTATAACATTGACCTGACGTTTCATACAGAAGTGACCATAGCTATTTATTGTAACTTTTGGGAAAAATATATTTTTTTGTCAACATCATATTATATTGGTAGTTTAGGAACAAACCATTCAATACTCTTGAGGGGAGGGGTGTGGGGGTGGGGTGGGGGTGAATATTGAATAACCAGTCCGCTATTGTAATAGTCGTAGTTGTAGTCTCTGATAGTGTTGTAGTTGTAGTCACCGGTTGTTGTAGTCGTAGTAGTTGTAGTCATGGCTGGTGTAGTCGTAGTTGTACTCATGGCTGGTGTAGTCGTAGTTGTAGTCATAGCTGGTGTTGTCGTAGTTGTAGTCACCGGTTGTGTTATAGTCGTAGTAGTAGTCACTGGCTGTTGCAGTCGTAGTTGTAGTAATGTCTGGTGTAGTCGTAGTTAACGTTGTAGTCACCGGTTGTGTTATAGTCGTAGCAGTAGTCACTGGCTGATGCAGTCGTAGTTGTAGCCACTTGATGTTACATATGACACATGCACATATATAGGAATATTGTTACATCAAGCATATATGCAGAAGCAACAAGAATTATATATGGTGGCACGTTTGACAGTGGTATCGACATCCGACAGAACGAGTTGCTTCCAGTGATTGTGTGGGCCACCATGAATCCCCCAGTTGCTAGATCACGCAACCGCCTGAATCTCGTGAATCTGAGACCTCATGTATACATGCTCTATCTGCCGGTATTGGTTTATAGAAGGGGTTGTCTGCTTACGCTATCAAGATAACTTTAGTGTCAGCACTTCTGTCTCTCAACAAATGTTGGAAGAAGAGCCATAACACGTCAGCAGCGTATACACTCAGCAATGATGGCGTTTGTTTAGAGAAAAAAGTGTTTTAAGAACTCTACGATATTTATATTATATGGAAGCATGTGCTTGCCGACACTTGCGCCATTACGAGCGCGCCTGTTATTGAGTGTGCGCCCGCATTCCACTCACCGCTTGGAATACTGGAAACAAAACAAGGGAGGGCACTCTGTGACAGAACCAACTGTTAACCACTAGTGGGATAACAATTACGTTGCTCAGAATTTGTTTTCAACCAATATGGGCAGAGCTACGCCATGCCTAAGATGAAAGTTAGATGTTAATCTATAGAATATTTGATACAGCTATAAACATCCTAAATGGAACACCCAGATATCCATTTCACACTCCGATTAGATTCCCAAGATTATTACCCGGTCAAGTACCACACTAGGGGTTTAATCATCATCTGTACTGATCAGTGCGTTGTGTTGATATATTATATACCGACCAGCAACCACGATGTATCTGCGGCAGAAAGGTATTCGTTGCTTCATCTTGATTAAATATATATTTTGAAATAATATGACATTTTTTACTTGGTCTATTCTTGTAGACAGACACAATATACTTGTGCAGACAAATGAGTAAAGGGCTTCAATTTAAGCTGTAGGCACTTATCTTTACTTTCAGATAAGATTAAGTATTGATTTTGTGAAATTCCCGCTTGGATGATATCAGAGTTACAGAGGCTCTCACACCTGTTCAAAGACGCAGACAGAATGATCGCTTTCACTTACCGACTTGTTACTTTCAGGTGTAGTGCCTTGTATCAGGTCTTCTCTTAAATATGTATGTATACACTTATTTGTCTGAAACCAGTTATTTGATTAATTAAACAATGAATGACATCAACGAGCGTCATAGTCTGTGACCAGAGCCCTCACGGTCAAGTATTTGTTTTGTTTCACCAGCCTTCCATAATTATAATGTCGTTCCGTCATGGGAGCGCTCAATGGTGACCTGACCCTTACATATTTTGAAGTAGATAATTTTATATTTTAATGCAAATACTCCGTGATCTTGCCCTGTGCCCATCCATGTCCACTGTGCCATATAGTGTCATTAAATGGGGACCTGGATTTTGTATGGAGACAAACTATATTTTTAGCAAGTCCCGCAAACCAACCTAAATATTTATTTTACCCCAAACCAGCTTGCAGCAATGTAGTTTTTGTGTCTGTACATTTGTACCCCCTCACACACACACACATACACAGATGGTCGGTCCCAAACACACCTTGTGCGAATAATTCCAACTGAAAGTCTGAAGAAATGGTATACGTCTTTCTTTTTAATGAAATATGTTGATATATGAGGATAGGTGACATACTCGTCCATTTCGAAAAAAGGGTTTGATCTTGTACTTCCAAGTTTACCTCAACATGGGAAAGTCAAGAGATTACTCAAGTTCCATAAAGCAAATAGTATTTCCATCCAACCATACAAATAATAAAGCTTCTTTATCGTTTTCGAGACAACGAACATCGAGCGGCTGGTACACACTTTCTGGTACACACTTTCTGGTACACACTTTCTGGCACTCACATCCTGGTACACACATTCTGGTACACACATTCTGGAACACACATTCTGGTACACACATTCTGGTACACACATCCTGGTACACACATTCTGATACAAAAATTCTGGTACACACATTCTGGTACACACTTTCTGGCAATCACATTCTGGTACACACATTCTGGTACACACCTTCTTGTACACGCATCCTGGTACACACATCCTGGTACGCATATTCTGGCACACACATTCTGGTACACACATTCTGGAACACACATTCTGGTACACACATTCTGGAACACACATTCTGGTACACACATTCTGGTACACACATTCTGGTACACACATTCTGGAACAAACATTCTGGTACACGCATTCTGGTACACACATTCTGGAACACACATTCTGGAACACACATTCTGGTAGACACAATCTGGTACACACATTCTGGTACACACATCCTGGTACACACATTCTGGCACACACATTCTGGTACACAGATTATGGAACACACATTCTGGTACACACATTCTGGTACACACATTCTGGTACACACATTCTGGTACACACATCCTGGTACACACATTCTGGAACACAAATTCTGGTACACACTTTCTGGTACACACATTCTGGTACACACATCCTGGTACACACATTCTGGTACACACATCCTGGTACACACATTCTGGAACACAAATTCTGGTACACAGATTCTGGTTCACACATTCTGGTACACACATCCTGGTACACACATTCTGGTACACACATTCTGGTACACAGATTCTGCTTCACACATTCTGGTACATAGATTCTGGTACACAGATTATGGAACACACATTCTAGTACACACATTCTAGTACACACATTCTGGTACACACATTCTGGTACACACATTCTGGAACACACATTCTAGTACACACATTCTGGTACACACATTCTGGAACACACATTCTAGTACACACATTCTGGTACACACATTCTGGTACACACATTCTGGTACACACATTCTGGAACACACATTCTGGTACACACATTCTGGTACACACATCCTGGCACTCACATTCGCGCACTCACATTCTGGTGCACACATTCTCGCAGTCACATTCTGGTACACACATTCTGGTACACACATTCCGGTACACACCTTCTTGTACACACTTTTGCGCACTCACATCCTGGTACACACATTCTGGTACACACATCTTGGTACACACATTCGCGCACTCACGTCCAGGTACACACATTCTGGTACACACATTCCGGTACACACATTCTGGTACACACATTCGCGCACTCACATCCTGGTACACACATTCGCGCACTCACATCTAGGTACACACATTCCGGTACACACATCCTGGTACACACATTCTGGTACACACATCCTGGTACACACATTCGCGCACTCACATCCTGGTACACACATTCGCGCACCCACATTCTTGTACACACATTCGCGCACTCACATCATGGTACACACATCCTGGTACACACATTCTGGAACACAAATTCTGGTACACAGATTCTGGTTCACACATTCTGGTACACACATCCTGGTACACACATTCTGGTACACACATTCTGGTACACAGATTCTGCTTCACACATTCTGGTACATAGATTCTGGTACACAGATTCTGGAACACACATTCTGGTACACACATTCTGGTACACGCATTCTGGTACACACATCCTGGTGCACACATTCTGGCACACACATTCTGGTACACAGATTCTGGAACACACATTCTGGTACACACATTCTGGTACACACATCCATGTGCACACATTCTGGTACACACATTCTGGTACACACATCCTGGAACACACATTCTGGTACACGCATTCTGGAACACACATTCTGGAACACACATTCTAGTACACACATTCTGGTACACACATTCTGGTACACACATTCCGGAACACACATTCTGGTACACACATTCTGGTACACACATTCTGGAACACACATTCTAGTACACACATTCTGGTACACACATTCTGGTACACACATTCTGGTACACACATTCTGGCACACACATTCTGGAACACACATTCTGGTACACACATTCTGGTACACACATCCTTGCACTCACATTCGCGCACTCACATTCTGGTACACACATTCTCGCAGTCACATTCTGGTACACACATTCTGGTACACACATTCCGGTACACACCTTCTTGTACACACTTTTGCGCACTCACATCCTGGTACACACATTCTGGTACACACATCTTGGTACACACATTCGCGCACTCACGTCCCGGTACACACATTCTGGTACACACATTCCGGTACACACATTCTGGTACACACATTCGCGCGATCACATCCTGGTACACACATTCGCGCACTCACATCCAGGTACACACATTCTGGTACACACATCCTGATACACACATTCTGGTACACACATCCTGGTACACACATTCGCGCACTCACATCCTGGTACACACATTCGCGCACTCACATTCTTGTACACACATTCGCGCACTCACATCATGGTACACACATCCTGGTACACACATTCGCGCACTCACATCCAGGTACACACATCCCCAGCCGGTACGCTTCAACTTCATCAGAGTACATTAAAATGCACAAGTCGTGATGGCGTCGTTACCTCAGCAGTGCCACAAATGCAACTGTATAATTATCTAACAACGTGTTCCTCCTGAAATTTGTATCTGTACATTCTATACAGTTCACATATCAGCATGGTGTTATGTGTTTGATGCATGACACACGATGATCATACGACTTGTAAACCAATATACCAACGGCATTCGATTAGGATTCAATATGTGCGATCTGCATTAAGCCCATTACACGGATCCACCATGAAGAGCAGATAGCGATATTGGCAGTGGTTGTTACGTGTGCAGACTGAGGTCTTATATGCACAATGTGTGCCCACGTGCGGAGGGATCTGGAGATATGAAACGAGATATATTTGCAATTACGATCTGACGCAAACATCAGAAATGGATAAAGCGGAGAAGCAAAATAGTTTGTTGGGTAAAGAGCGCCATTAATGATCATGGTGATGTTTACAATAGCTTTGTGTCTCATCAAGCGATAGTGAAGTCTTATGAATAGGAGCCAAACTTTCAGGAAACTCATTCGACTTTCCTTAAGAGGCGTTCAGACGTTTATACTTTGGGTAATATGGTTGTAGTTCACGTCATATTGCATAGCTTATACAATACAATGAAGACGAGGGGACCGACCATTTGATGGTCTATGTTTTATAAATTAAACGATTCTCCTAGAACATGCTTGAAAACAATAATTCTGCTTCGGCATCTTGAAAAATCAAGACATTTTCTGCCACAAAAAATAAATTGCTGCAAGGTTTAAACAACATGTTCAGCCTCATAATGTTAATTTAAAAAAATAATTCTGGTTTTACAACTGTAGCTGAAGGGATATCCGTTTTCCATACAACATCCCAGGCCCTTCCCAGAAAGTCAACAGGAGTTTCAACGTCTTTATTCTTTCGTACAAACTTTCGGTACATATGCTAGACTAAGTACATGTATCAAGCAAGTGATGAACAACTGGAAGGACATGGTTCCTTGTACATATTCTAGTACATATAAACAGATGAACAAC